AATTACCATGAGCTTCACCTTGTAAAATGCTTACCATTATATATTACCTCAGTCAGGCAAACTTAGGCTGGGAAATATTACCTGTCAAGTGTGTGAGAGGATGTATGTTTCTCAAATTACTTTTGGGGTAGCCGGCAACACACGTGTAGCTCCCTGAGCTAGGGTTGCAGTTGTTCCATAAGGAAATGCTGACTAAATGGTGGCTGAGGAGTGAGTGGATCCCCAGCAGTGGCCTTGATGGCCCTGTGGCCCACGTCCAAAATCTCGTCAAACAGCCAAGCTCTCCCCTCACCCCGATCAGCTCAGTCATCCTGACCTCGCGCACTGGGATCCTCTGAGACGCATCTCGCCCTGCATCCCCCCCAGGTCGCTGTGGACACAGGAGGGAGGCAGCACCGGCCTGTGGGGCAGAGCGCTTTCGAGGCTGGACCCGAGGGCCGCCTCCCCTGCACACTCGGGGACACCCAGGCCCTGCCTTTGGAATGTCAACATGCAGGAAACAACCTTTTCAGGGAAGCCACCTAATCTGGTTTCTCTAATGTAACTGCCGCCCTTCCACTGCGCTGAGCTGAGCCCCCTCCTGTGTTCCCACAGCGGGCTGACCCCCGCTCCCCTCCAGCCGGTGACGCCTTTCTGGCTCCAGACAACCTGTGAGATGGTAACAACAATGCCCGAGGGGACAAAGTGTTGTTCCCATTAGAAGAGCAGCCAAACTAGGTCTCGCAAGGACCCAGACGGGTGGCTGTCCCACAGCAAGAGTTTGTGACGTTTTCTCGTCTCTGTCCAGCCTCCCCATCATTTAACAGAAATAACGGCATTAGTTTGAAACCTTGGGAGATAAACTTAAGTTTTGGTTGTGGGTAAATGCCTGTTCCTAGTTTGGCACAGCAGAGATAGCCAGGACCCTCTTACTGGCTCAGGACTCGTGGGGGGGGGGAGGTGCGGGGGGGTGCTTTACTGGCTGTGTTGCATGTTTTAGGGGATGGGCAGTAATAGGGGGAAGAGAATGAAGCAACCCCAAGTCAGCCTCAAATTAATAGGCCTGTTCTCCCTGCAGTTAGCTGAGCTAGGATGCAGTAGCGTTTCATTGTGCGGGTTAGGATTACGCGTCGTTTTCTGCCCCGTGGCCTCGCCTGTAAGGCCGCTCCCGCGGCGTCTGAGTGGACATACACTGGTTGTCACAGAGCCGAATGAGGAAGCGTGGCTTCCCGTGCTGTCAGTGTCCTGTCTTCCCAACAGCTGAGGCGGAACCAGCTCTTGGAATTTGGAGGCTTCTAGAAAGAGAAGTGGCCAAGTTTCTTTTTCTCATCTCTGAACCAAGCCCACAGGTCACTCCTCAGATGCCTTCTCTGCGTGTCCGTTAAGCGTCGCTATCAAATGCTGCTCCGCATCCTACCGGTGTCTTCTGAGAGCGGGGCTGGGCTCCGACACCCCAAGTTCTCCGTGGCAGCACTCACAGGGCTCTTCTGCAGAAACTACCTAGGCTCTCCTTACCTCATTGCTAAGACTCTGAATACTGATTCCAAATTAGCACAGAGGAAATGGGCTTAAAAAATCCTTCCTACTGCAAAGAAATGCTCATTTCTGATAGGCTTTACTTTCAAGCTGTGTCCAATCTGTTCACTCCCTTTTAAGTGCATGTCCTGGTTGTCATGACAACCAGCACCGCTATTTATGGAAACCACTATTTTTAGCCTTGAAAGGGGGCTGGGCAAAACAACTTTGTTTTTTGGCTGATCACAGACAGTGCTCATACATTCTTAATTTATGACCCAGCCTCTGCTATTATTAGGTGTCTCGCTGAGCCCAAGTCATGAATGATGCTATGTGAAGAGGGACATTCCTGGCCCTTCGCAGCCGCACTTCTAGACTCTGCTTTGGGACATGTTTGTACAGGGCAGGCCTCTGAGGTCCCTCTGGATCCTCTCTCCTCTCTAGCCTGCACAGATTCCCCCCACCGTAGGCGGCCCACCTCAAGTCAAGTAAAGGAAGAGCCACCACATTTCAAGGCCAGTAACTTCCATAGCAGGTAGAAGAAAACCTTTTATGATTCACTTGTAAATAAATACCAGGGAAGGATATTATTGTTTGTGCTAAATGGAAAGAGAGACTAAGGTACTCAAATTCAATATCCTTTGTTTGTCACAAAACATCAAGTTTGCCTGGGACAGCCTTTGAGGCTGGGAAAGCTTCCAATAGCACTTAAATAAGTATATAATTCTCCCTGCCTTCCCCCACCGTGGTCTGATAGCTTCTTCAAGAGCCTCCATAACTACCTTACTCATATATGTCTGTCTGTCTCCCCCACCCAGATCCAATTTCCAGACACTGAAGGGGTTAAGGTAGGAAAAGCTCCAGTAGCAAAGCAACAGATCTGTTAACCTGGAGTTGTAAATACTTTAAACTTTTCACTGAATAGCTACGCCTTAGGCTTCTTGCTATTCATGGTCACATCCATTGTTTCTTCACATGCTGCATTTTGTCACTTACAGCTATGCAAGAAAAAACAGTGGGTGAGTAAATCTGTTCTGGGGACGCTGAATTCGGAAGGCAAGACATACACCCAAATACCATTTGCGATCCCTGAAACCTGATTCAGTTATTATCTCATCCTTTCTTGATTTCATTCATGTATACATGCTATTTATTGGAACCAGAAGTTTTGTAAGTACACTAGAAACTGTGTAGTATAATCTTGCATTTCAACTATTAAAACTTACTTGTTCAGTTGCCCAAGAATTCCTCTTAATGTCTATGCACTGGAATTCTACTCCAGGTACAGGGCACATTAACAATAGCCTCCCATTAAAAATGTTCACTGCACACTTTCTCTTCCTGTGTCATTTCTATTTCAAACTAATGAAAAGATAACTTGGAGCATAATGAAACTACAGGTACTCTTCCTGTATTTCCTCTTATACAAAGGGAGTTTCCTTCGCCAAAAATGAGAATTCGGTGGCGATCGCATTCCAACAGAGGACTTCTATGCACCTCACTTTTTGTAATATAATCTGTGTCAGGTATCCCCATGATACATGTATTACCCATTGAAATATTCTCGACGGCCCATCAACTAAAAAGGGAAGATGCTGCCATGTCTGCCGCAGTCTTCTGCATACACGAATCATTACTTTTAGCAAACAGCTTGCTTTCCTGCATAGACTGTTTTGGCATTCTTTTTTTTTTTTTTTTTTAGGGATAGAATCAAGTCTTACTGTATATTCAGAATCCCTTGAAGATTTGTTATTTGCGTTGTAAATTGCACACGATGTTTCCGGGGCACGTGTTTATTTCCGTTGAAAGAACATGTCCTATTTTTGAGGAAGGAAAAAAACTTTTAAGACATCAAATGTTTCTTGCGAAACTATTTGATGAAATAGATGTAAATGAATCAGAACCATGTGAATTGTGTTTCAATTAAAATTAATAGCTTTAAATATGAAGGGAGTAAGTGCTTCGGGGGAAGAATGTGGCAAGGAGGGAAGTGACATTTGTTTTGTTTTCATCAGTCTTGGGTCCTTGAAAAATGGCCTAAAACTCTGCTTTCAACCTCATTGTGATCCTTCTTAAGCCGACCAGTGCAGTTCCAGGGTGGGACAAGAATGCCCAGGGTTATTTTACAGCTGCATCTGGCTCCAGTGATAATAAAGGCACCAGACAGCTCTGCTGTGCAGTTCTTTAGGAGCAAGTCTCAGTGTAAAGACAGTGCCAGTTCAATTTCCTTCGAGAGTAAGCAGCACGTGATAGCGCTGACGCCGCGCGCATCGACTCTAGGTATTCCCCCTAAGAAGGTGATCACACTCAGGGCAAAGTGCGTGCAACTGAATGTACGCGCACGTGCAGGAGAGGCACTCGGGAGAAGAGGCAGTGACGAGGCGAGAGTGAGAAGGAGCCGGGTCAGGAGGAGGCACGCGGCGTCAGGCCTCCGACCTAAGCAATCAAACCACCCTGGTGCGTGTGGTCTCGGCAACTCTATGCCCTACTTCTCTATTCCAGTCATTTGCACTTGCCTAACAGCAACGGCCTGGCTTCTTTTGAGTTTTTGTACTTGTTACTTTTTCATTATAAAGACACAACCATTCCTTCTCTGAGAAATCCGGGGCAAAGAGCTACAAAAAGCCGAGGCCCCAGTAGCCTTCCCTCCCCGGCACGCGGAGGTGAGTGCGGCTTGCTGTGTGCTGCCTGCGGGAGGAGGGCGGGCACTTTCTCCCTCTCACCTCCCACGTCTGCCACAGGGAGCCTCCAGTGCTCTGGGCACTTCCGAGAGGCCAGGATCACGTCACTGGAGAGCAGACGTGGGCACTCTGGGGAGACATGGAACACGGCTAACCCGCCTCGGGTCTCACAGGGCAGTGAGGACACAGGTCCTCCATGTGCCGTGGTCTGTGGACTGTTTGTGTGTGAGGTGCTGCCTGGGCGCCTCCTGGGAGCCAGGCCCATTGCCAGAGGGGAGCGACTGGACGCTCCGGCTCCTCATTGGGTCGGGAGGACCCTGCCCCTCGCGTTTGTGCCAGGGCGCACTGCCTGGACTGGCTGGCAGCGGTTCCCTCGTTGCTCCTCACAGGCAGCAACTGAGGAGTCACTCTTAAAATACGCATCCATCCCTGGGCAGGAGATGCTGTTCCCTCAGCTTAGCCTTTCTCTGTTGGATTTAACCTTTTCCTCGCTGGGCTCAGCGGACGGAACCGGCACGGCTAGGTGGGCAGAGCCGGGGCCACCCCTCAGGTGGCCGAGTCCCCAGCCCCACTCTCACAGGCCCTGTTAAGCAACACCAAGTTGCGTCAATGAACAAATATGAATATGTTCAGCTTTTTCTGTGTCCCCAACAACCACCACCTCTGTGTCCGGATGCAGGGCCAGGGCTGAGAGCTCCCACAGTGGGCTCTGCCCGCAGAGGACACTGGAGACGACTTCCCGCCACAACCCGCTGCAGTAGCTCAGACAAGGCCCCAGAAACGCCCCAGCGCTAACTGCCTGTTTGGTGTCCTGCCCGCCCGCAGGCCTACCCGTGCAGCAGTGACAAGGAGTGCGAAGTCGGCAGGTACTGCCACAGCCCCCACCAGGGCTCCTCGGCCTGCATGGCGTGTCGCAGGAAGAAGAAGCGCTGCCACCGGGACGGCATGTGCTGCCCTGCCACCCGCTGCAACAATGGTGAGCATCTGCGCGCTGCCTTCCCGGAGGCCCCTTCCACAGTGACTCCCTGTGAAACTCCTAAAACAGCGGGTGCCATTCCTAACTGGCAGGGGTAGAGCATCGTTTAGACATGGGTAAGAGGCCCTGGACGACGTCCCAAATCTTGGTTTTCCAGGGTGTTGAGCTCTGTGTGAACCTGGCAGCTTGTGCTGGCCCAGGATTTGCCAAGTCCTAGTGTGGTGCAGAGGAAACCAGAGTGCCTATTCCGCTTCAGTGCATACTCACATACGAGCAAGGGAGCCAGAGGACCCTCTCCGGCCAGTCTTAGCCCTTGCCTCTTATGGCAAGGTGTCCTCTCAACCCCCCTTTCTCCCCAGCCCCCATATCATGCTCAGATGCGACAGAGGGAGGTCTCCCCCAGAGGGAGACACAGAGGTCCACCCCAGCCTCTCCAGGCGCCTCACCCAACCCCAGTGAAATCACAGACTACTCAGCATTAACGATGGGCTGAAGACTCACCAACAGTGTGTGGCAAACACTGTCACATCATTGCAGAATGTCACCAGAATATGCTTAGGATATAAAATACACAAACTCTCACGCACTTACCAGTTCTGGACGTCCACGCCTGGCCTGGTGGCAGCAGCTTGCGCAGGAGGTGAGGATAGTAGAGATGCTGACAGTGTGGACGCCTGGCCGGGTGATTCTGAAGCACTGCTACTAGCTGGCAATGCTCCCACAGTACCGTGTCATGGTTCTAACACTTTATAACTATTTATGACTTAGTGACAGGAATTCTGGTTCTCTTCCTACTTTTACCCAAAGTCACTGGTCTTCACAGAGACATGATTTAAAATCAAGGACACCCGGCCAAACTAGTGGTCTCAATAAACCCAGAAATAAATGTGTAAATGAATGGGTAGGTAGACGGATGAGAGTGACTGATACAAGACTGATAGGGAGCCACCGATAAACAGGTAGACAAGACAGGTCATTTGCAGAGAGACATGATCCATTGATTGACTGCTAGGCAGGTAGATAAATGGCTTCATACCTCACATCAGGAGCGCACTTGGAGGAAAGCCACACTCCGCTGGCTGAGACTAACTGCTTACCTGGCCATCCGCAGGCATCTGCATCCCGGTCACTGAGAGCATCTTGACGCCTCACATCCCAGCTCTGGACGGCACTCGGCACCGGGATCGAAACCACGGCCACTACTCGAACCACGACTTGGGGTGGCAGAACCTAGGAAGACCACACACGAAGATGTCACATATAAAAGGTAGGCCCACCTGGGGTTACGGCTTTGCTTTTCCTGGCTTTATAAAGATGTAAAAGAAAATACAGACAATTCTGTAAGTCCTGGAAAAAAGGCAAGTTGCTTTGTCCATCTTCAATGCCAACATTTTAACTGTGCTTATTAAGTCTTAATTTTGAGGGCTCCTTAGACATCTTAGATTGCTAGAAAATGCACATGGAAATCTCACTGCTTGGATAACCCACCCATTTTCTGAGCAGTTCTGCTGTCTCACATGGAGCTGAGAGGAAGTCTCCTCGACAGGCGCTTCTGTGCGGGGGATTCTGAAGTGAGCGGGGAGTGGCAGCTGTCATGTGCCTGCTCACGCGGCTCTAGCACCTTTTCTCATCCTTGCAGATTCAGGAGTGTTACTTCACTAAATGACCAGATCAGATACTTTTCCTAATTTGAGGATTTTTCTCAGCTTCAGAAACGTTCTTTCACTGTGTAACTATTAATATACTACTCATAAGCCAATCTCCAGAAAAAGAAAAAGGAAAAGGTTCCTAGCGGGCTTAAGTCGGGTTGCTGGTGCCCCTTTCTGTTTCTAAGTGTTTGAGACGCCTAATCACAGAGCAGAACCTGGCACGGCTGGAGCACCTGCGTGTTTGAGGGAGGTGCTCCGCGGAGCCCTGCTCCTCCAGGCAGGGGGTACGCCCCACGTCCAGAGCTGGGAGGATACTTCTCCCCAGGCTGGGACCATCATCACAAACTCCATACCAGAGGCTCTCAGCGTCCAGTGGGGAGCAAAACTGGCCCTCTTTTTCCAATGGCTATTTTCAGTCTCCCTTGACTACAAAGCCATTTCCAGCCCTGTCCTTGTACTGAGAGCAAGCATCCTGCAGCCTCCACCTGGAGTCCTGGTGGCTGCGAGGGGCCTGCCAAACACACCTCAAATCAGTTCTTTGCCAACACTCCCTGAAGGCCTGCGCCCTCTACCCACAGGCCCCGTTTCTGTTCCACCAAACTCCCTACATCTGGCAGTACATGAGTATCTGCCTTTACTGCCACAGAAACCCGTGTTTCCATGTAGTTTCCAACTGGTTGTTTTCCTGCAAATCACCTGTGACTTTCTGAGATGATGGAGCAGAACTGGTGTCACTGGCAAGCAGAGCTGGTGACAGCAGAAAGGTGGGTCTCCCTGTCTGGTGGGGTAGGCAGGCACTGTGGCACCGAGCCAGGGTGGGCCTGCTTGGTTCTGGCTGGAACCAGCCAGCCGGCTCATGCAGTTTCTCCAGGGCTGTTCCCGGGGCCCCAACAGCCTCAACTACCTGTCCTCAGCTCCGCTGCAGAGGGTGTACCAGCCCCTTGTACAGGCTGCCCGGCAACCTGGTCAGGAGGCGCGAGTCTCTGCTGCCTCACAGTTTCCTTCTGAAGGAACTGTCCAGGCTCATGCTTTCCCGAGGTCTTTGTGACACCCTCCTGGCTGGGCCTGGGACTAGCTGCTCTCCCTCAACTCTGCTCTGTCTCGCGTCTCTCCCTGGACTATGTTCCCTGAGCTGGCTTTGCTGGAGATGGGAGACCCGCGGAAGCAGAGGCAGGAGGAACCACCTTTCGCCTCACGACCAGGTCTGCACCTTGGCTTCTGGTAGAGCTTTGCCTCAGGGGCCCTCAGCTTCCCCTGGGGGGGGGGGGGGCTGTTGGGCCTGCTGGGCCTGCGGTCTTAGAATTGGGAGTCCTGTGCCACGAGGGCCTCTCAGCCTGAGGCAGGGTGGCTTTCCAGCCCTGCGCTCGCCACCTTGGAGCTTGCTGCACCTGTGTGAGCTCTTGCATTCGGACCCCTGTCCTCACGCTGGGAGTTCCCACTCCGTTGCAGCCCACTGATTGCTCTTTCCTAGCAGCCCCTGGGGGTACAGTCTTCCCTTCCAATCAGCACTGCTTCCACTCTCCCAGAGGGTATCAGACTCATTCACTGGAAAGCAATTCTCTATTTACTTTCCACTCACCTTGTTAAAAAAAAAAAAAAAAAAAAAGTGCAGGAAATGTCTCCGCACAGACATGACAAAGTAAACAGAAGACAAAGCTTGGTCCCTGCGATTCACGACACTTGACATTTAGGCGCCAGTATGGAAAGAGACGGTGCTCTGTCTTTTCGAGAGAGCCCATGGGTGTGACTCTAAAGCCTTTCGCTATGAGGGGGCACCATGGAAGACCGTGCACGTCAGAGCATCCAGAGGCTGCTGACTACAGCGCTCTGTGTCGCTAAGTGTCGGGTCCTGTCTTTTGGTCTCTGCAGGGCACGAGGGAGACCCCTGCCTCCGCTCCTCAGACTGCGTGGACGGGTTTTGCTGCGCGCGTCACTTCTGGACCAAAATCTGCAAGCCCGTGCTGCACCAGGGCGAGGTCTGCACCAAGCAGCGCAAGAAGGGCTCGCACGGGCTGGAGATCTTCCAGCGCTGTGACTGCGCCAAGGGCCTGTCGTGTAAAGTGTGGAAGGACGCCACCTACTCCTCCAAGGCCAGGCTCCACGTGTGCCAGAAGATCTGACCGCCGCCCGCGGGGCCGCCCGCAGACCGTGAGCCTGTGTGCTCAACACGTGATGGCATGGGGGGGGCAGACCCGGAGCTCAGCGGGACGGCCGGCGTCAGGATAGGGGTCCCAGCAGGGAGGAAGAGAGAAGCAAGGGGACGGAAGGGCGACTGACCTAGGACAGCCGATGTGTTTCCATTACGCAACTCGTTTATGTAAATAATGTACACGCGCGTGGCAACGCTATTACTGAAGGAAAAGCACACGGTGAAAATCACTGAGGGGACACCAGTGACTTTGCAGGAGGCTGGGTGGCGCTGGGGGACAGGGTCCCTGCAGATTGGTGATTGCCTCTGAAAATAACCAAGAAGCCATAGTTCTGTTGCAAGTGACAGTGTAACACAAAGAGCCCCGTGCCCTGGCGCCCGGCAGGCTCTGAAACAGGAAGAGTCCCATACCAGAGAAAGCGCAGGTCACAGCTGACGCGCGACACAGAAGCATCTTGTAATCCCTACTGCGGAGCCCCCCTTCTGCTACTGGCAACCCCCCTCCCAGCCCCCAAAAGAAAGGCAGTCAAGGCCTGTAGAAAATCTGGTTTTCCCTGCAACTGCCCATTTACATTTTTCCAGATTTGCGTTTCACCCGCAGTCAGGAGACCCGGTATAAGGCAAAACGCCCGCTCCGGCTGCAAGGGAGTCAGGCCTGTGTCGGCGGCGGGGGCTCCGGCCTGCGCCTCGTCTGGGACTAGCGCGGAAGAGCAAGTGCACAGAGTGGAGCGTCCCTCAGATGGGTAAGACGTAGGAGACAAATGTCCTAATAGGAAGATCTTTTTTTTTGAAGTCTCGGCATCCCGTTTTGATAGACTTAGTGACTACGCATGTTCCTGACATACTCTGCAGAATGACAGGGGAAAGCTGGCAGCAGAGACCCCGCCGTCCTGAGCCGAGGCCACAGGACGCCGGGAGCTCGCCAGGCGCCCAGCTTCGGGCCGCGGCAGCTCCCCTGTCTGAGGCACACGCTCTCTTCTTCCTTGAAGCCCCAGCCGGCGCGGCCTCCATGGGAGGCTTTCCAAGGGATTCGTATTTAACATTTACCACGCAGATGAGTTCAGTGCGAGCTCTCGTGACCTCAAAATATTTATTTTACACTTGTGAGGCCCTCAGCAAAGCTTACTGTGAGGAATGGACCCCGAGGAGGCAGGGCAGCCAGGCTGTAATGGTCCCATGTTTTCGGCATCAGACTTTCCCTACAATGGCTGTTGCCAAAGAGATAGTTCGTTTGCTGCAGCCACTAAGATTTAAAATACAAATGAACTAAACTACAAAGGCTACACGTATCACTGATCTATAGAAGTCAAGGTTCTAAATTCCTTGAAACCATTTTATTAATTTTTCTTTACTTGGTTCTAAATATTCTGGCTAGAGCATAAAGAACAGGTATCTTGTAGTTCTTACTTTTGACCTTTTCTTCTTAGACTGCAAGACACTCCTTAACATTCTTTTAATCCACCTGCTGTCGCCAACTCAAGTTCTCCCAGTAGAAACTGAACCCGAGCCTGCCTGTCTATTAAGAAATCCAGCTCCCCATATCCATTTCCCAGGAGGGTTCAGGTGGCCATTGTCCCGCACGCCTGCTAAAATAACAATCATAAGCTAATTTATGCAAGATGCAAACTCCGTCCAAACAGGCTTCTCTCAGCTTGGTAACGTGAACATGGGGCATTTTGGTCAGATGTTTCCTGTGCAGCAGTTACATTTACAGTCTGGTTTCTGCATTATTTTCCTTATGTACATCCCTTCAAAAATTATTATTTGAAGTAATTTATTTACAGGAAATGTTATGAGATGTATTTTCTTATAGAGATATTTCTTACAGAAAGCTTTGTAGCAGAATATATTTGCAGCTATTGACTTTGTAATTTAGGGGAAATGTATAATAAGATAAAATATATTAAATTTTCTTTCTCTGAAAACTGAATTCAAATCTGTGTTTTGCTGATGGGAAGAATTGCCGTAGAAGTGTGTTTTGTCGGGGCTCACCCAGGCGTGGCGGGATGTGGACCCTGGAGAGGGGACGGCCAAGCAGCGTTGCCATTTCAAGGCTGCTGGTCTCGGGACAGGACCGCTGTACCTGCTAGAAAGCTATTTTTCTAAACTCGAGGGCTGCGACTTGTGCTTTCCGCCCACGAATGTGTACTTCACCTTCTACAACATCTCGAGGCAGATGCTTTTCACAGACTGCAAGACACGAGGCCACCTAGTCTCATTCCTATACTCTCCCCGGGGCCACCCTTTGCAGATCAGCGACGACAACACACAGGTTTCCGGTCCCCCCACCGTGGCACAGTCAAGCTGTGGAGGTCTCTGCCCTGTGGGACCCAGACTGAGGGGCTCAGTGTGTCCCGGGAGCCCACAGGAGCAATGAGACCAGGGCCGCGGGAGGGGCGGAGCCCTGCAATGCAGCCTCAGCATGTTCTGGAATGGCTGCCATTCCTCAGCCTGAGCATTTGCTTCCTAGGTAGGGTGTGCCTTCCGCCCCAGTGATCACATGGGTCATCTTCTCTTGAGCTCAGGGAGATGCTCTCGGCAGCGACAAATTGCCCTCACTTCCTGTGTCTCCAAGAAACAAAGCACCCTGCCTGACCCACAGGCAGGGCCGGAGAGCTATCAATTACACTTTCCTCCTCCCCCAGGTTCAACCCTTTCAGGCGGCTGCACGAAAGGCAGTCCGGCGGAGCTCCCCTGCGGCGGGCGCTCGGGCATTGCTTGTGGAGAAGGCGCACGTGTCCGGGCGCGGGGGCTCCAGGGGATGGCCCCCCGGCCCCCACACCGCCCCCACGCTGCCCCCGGGCCACACGGCCCAGCCAGCCTTCCCGCGGGAGCCACAGCAGTGGAACCTGCAGGGCAGTGTGGGGAGCAGGGGCTGCCTCCTCCCACAGTGCCCAGGAAGAAGAGGTGGGAAGGGGCAGAACTAGGCATTTCTCGTTCCAGAATCTGCTTAGAAATTCTCCAAAGCGAGACAATTTTAAGTCCATGCGGAAAGAGGGAGCAAGGGATGGAGGGAGAGCAAGAACAGCACACGCTCCACACGGAATGCTAACAATTAGAAAAGATGCCGCCGTATCATTCCCCAGATGGTCACATCCCTACCCCAGAGGGAGCGGAAGCGCCCCCGGGGCAGCCCCGGCCAGGGCACGCCGAGTGCCAGCCGTCCTCACCACCCTTCCGCAGGCGGGCAGTTTAGATTATGCCCGCCGTAGAGTGCAAAGCGGAAGGAAACAGCTTGTGGGCTCCATCAACAGCAAGGCCACACTCGGGACAGGATGGTGACACCCCCCCCTTTTGTCTCACCCCAAATGTGTCTGCCACATTCTCCCCCACACGTGACCGGGCCCGCGGAGCGGAGCGCTGGCATCGCGAACCTGCTGGGCGTGCGCGAGGCACGTCAGCGTGACTTTCCAACAAGGCCAATTTGAATATAATAATAAATCCTCTTGGGGAGGGCTGCTCGGGGGGAAATCCAGTACCAGGTTTAGCTCCTCTTGCACGTTAAAGTCAAAATAAGTTCAAGTTGAAAGTCACGATAGTCTGTTGTTTCTCTTTAGAATTAGGGGTCCAAGGCAATCGAAATTTGAAATCCTAACCCGTGACTGTGGCTTACTGGCTCATTCCCTCCCACGGGACCTCAGGGGGGGCATCCTGAGACCCGCGTGCAGCGGGACCCGCATCTACAGTCCAGACAGGCTTTCAAGGGGCTAAGTGGGGGCACCACACACCTCAGAGGCTGTCTTCACCCCAACAATCTCTGACAGGGTTCGTTAAAATAAATCCACACTAGGAACACAATTCAGTTAGAAGGAAAGGTGAAATGTCAGCAGACAAGACAAATGTTGGCCTTCTGCATAGCAGATGATTTGACAAAGTAAACTGCAGATGAAAACAAGCGGACACCAATAAAATGAGGTGCACTTTCTGAGGTTCATGGGGAGGAGGCGGGAGACAGTGCCAAGGGGAATAAAGGGCAGCGGGAGGGCAAAGTCATAACAACGTGGGTGATTCCTGTGGAAACAGGAACGCGCAGGGGGCATTTGAGACATTCTTATGAAAACACACACACAAGCAAATCAGATCGTTACCACAAACTATATGACAAAAATCTGAAAAGCCCACAGTAATTTAAAAACCATATTTTAAGGCCAGTTCTTACTAGGATTTTTTAATAACAAGGGCTTGGTTTTTAAAAGCAAACTGATCCAACGAATTAGGATGATAGAAGCTACCTGGATTTGTCTGCCTCTGCTCAACTTTGTACCAACAATCTCCTGACCACCACTTGCGCGCCAAAGGGGGAAAATAAAATGAAGCACAAGGAATTTTTAGAAGGCGCACGATTAAGCCACGGATGCTGGCACGTCAGGAACACGACATCTTGCCGGGCGCAGACGCCCAGGCCACCGGGACTCGCAGGTGTCTGGAGGCCGAGTGCGGAGAGGGAGGGCGTCTGCTCACTTCACTAAAAACGTTGACAAATTCGAACCAGCTGCCCGGGAGCCATGCTCTGCAGTCCTAGGTTTACGTGGGAAAACGTCAGCACGGCCCAGTCGGGAAATGCACCCTCGTGCGCCGCCCCCCACGCGCAGCATCAGCAGGCGAAGTGCAGGTGAGGGCCGGCGGGCGTCAGCCGCGACACTGCTCAGCCCCACCTCCACCCCAGGGAGGGCGCACAGCGACGAGCGCCCAAGTGAAGTCACCGTTGCCGTCTGTCTCTGGTAACGGTTTTAGCAAAGGGTGTCCAGGTGATGCTCCTCTGCCCTTGCTTCACGCCACCGCGTCCACAGAGCACACTGCATACGCTGGGTGGCCTCTGGGCGCTGTGGGGGGAGCAGAGACTCAAACCAAGACAGCTGACGTCCCCACCACCCTTAGGTTCCAGCTTTCACGGCCATTGCCGGGGGTGGAGGGGCAGGAAACAGCTGAATAGTGACCATGTAAGTCGTATGGAGACGCAAGTGCACGTGCTGAAGACACCTCAGGTGGGTAAAGACAGAGCGAGGAGAGAAGGGCTTTCTGGGGCTCTGTGGTCCGGGTGACCTCTGAGAGGAGCAGAAGGAGCAGAAGCCTGAGAGAAGCCTGGATGTGGCAGCAGAGAGGCCTGGAGGTGGAGGCGCAGGAGGACAGTGGGGCGGGGTCAGGTCACGCTAACCCTTCCTGCGTCTCTCCTCAGGGACCCTCTGACAGGCGTCTCCTGCAGGCCCCTAACTGGCCCCTGAGCTGGCGTGAGCGGGACTCTGCCTGCCTCGTCACCGTTCTCCTTCACCGCCCGCGAAAATCAGGCCGCAACATTACAGAGACGACGGGTCACAGGGTTGGGGCTTCCCAGCAGACCCCTGCGGGCTCATCTGAGGAGGACTCGTATTGCTTGCTAACATATACAAAGCAGAGAGTTCTCACATAAAAACCTGGATTCCTAGAGTCTCCTGGAAGACAAAATAAAATCACCTTGAACGGCCAGAAACAGCTGGGTCTGCGCAGGCGCCTGTCAGCTGCCCAGCACGAGGGTTGGGTTCTCCTGCTCTTTTCCGCTCTCACCTGTGGAGGTTCTGAGCAGAAGGGCCAGTCTCTTATCTTCAGAGTAGCCCGTGAACCCCGCTTTATCTGCCCTCAGTCTCCACTTCGCGCCTTGGCACACTGCCCTGTCGGCCCCACCAAGCCCACAGTCTGTCTGTTCCCTGAACTCCCCAAGCTGCTCCCCGCCCCCTGGACTTCCCCCACGCCTCGCTGTATGCTTCCAGCAGACACAGCCCCCAGGGCCCCCCACCACTGCCGCCTCCTTCCCCACTGGCTCCCCACTCCCATCTCCTGACACCATCACCTCTGGTTTCAAGAGGCGGCTCTGTTCTGTCATCAGGATTCCTATCTTTTTTTTTTCCTTCTCTCCAGCAACACCACAGCTCAGCCTCTGTTGCCAGCAGTTCTGTCACGTGTGGCAGCCAAACACCCAACGCCCCGGACCTCTGCAGGCCACGGCCTCGGCTCTGGGGCTAAGGGCGTGAGCACCACTGTGGGTGTCAGAACCCCTTGCGGTGTCTAAACTCGAGCCTGGGCTCCCTCTGTCAGCAGAAGGGCACTCGCTCAGCCAGGCGGGGTCACACGGCCATTGGAAAGGTCGGCAGGGAGCTGCAAAGCTACTACTTTAGACTATCCCTGGCATTTTTTCTGGACAAATACCTCTTTCCATTCACACGGGCTTGTGGGCCTTTTCCAAAGTTCCTTCCATGAGCTTTTATTTATTTCTTATTCTTTCAGTGACGAGGAAAAAAGCAGAAGTGTCTTGAAAGGAGCATAGCTAGTCTCAGGGCTTTCTTTTGGGGGTGTGGGTGCATATGTGTGTGTTTTCTGTGAGCCTAGGTGTGTTTGCCTCAGAAATAAATAAAGTAAAAGACAAATCCTCCCTCTGGAACCGTTAACCACAGAAGACTCCGTTGAGAAAAGTGAAATTTAATTTGGGAGGGCTGCACGGAACAATCTGGTCCCCTAGGCAGGGAATATGCTCAGCTCCATTCCAGCCACTTTAACAACCCACGCCCCCTTCGGCCCCTTCAGCCCGCCCACGGCCTGTGCCCCGGCGCGTCTCCAGGGGCCCCGCCAGCTCTCCATGTTTCTCACACTCGCGCTTATGTGCACCGGGGCTGATCCTGTCTCCTCCATTAGAAGTTAAATTTATGGCGCACCAAGAACGTTATAACTCCCCACTCCACTGAGTCGCCCGCAGCTGAAGCTGCACCTCCTCCCTGAACTCTCCCTAGACCGGCCGGACCCCGGCAGAACTTCCCCTCCAGGCTCCCCTGGCCCTTCCCGCTGCCTCACACCCCCGCCCGCTGTAACCAGCCCCACGCGGGCAGCGCTGCAGCGTGGGATTCCCTCCCCGGCCGGGCTTCGCGCTGCTTCCAGGGGCAGGTTGGAATATCTGCCCAGACCCTTTCCGGAAAAGCCT